ACTAGTATTTCATTCTATGTGCCTTTTGCTTCATAGTGTATCTCACTGTTACTGCTGTGTTCATGTTTTAATCAAAGTTTTTCTGTGTCATTGCAACTGGCTTCAGCGATGAGTTCTCAGTGTTTTTTCCAATGTTTTCTGCTGCTTTTGCTGCTGTTTGGTCTTGAAGTTTAATCATCTACTGATTTATAGTGCCCTCCTAGCTCTGATCAGATCCGGCCTACAGTGTTTACACCCAGAGTAGTGCTTGCTATAAGGAGGAGCAGATTCTGCGTGTGAGCTTGTATGTTCTATTAAAGTGAATGAATACTTGCAGCATAATTACAAAGATTCTTGATAAAGTTTCAAAAGCTGCTAATGCATATACTGGTGGTTATGTTTATTGATCAAGTTGTCTTTTAATCGTGAAGCTGTATCAAGTTGTGGGATTATTTGTGTTCTTGCATTGTTGATTATTTATGTTCTAACTTGCAAAAAGCATCGTCTGTGAGATTTTGTCTTACAGGAAGACAGCAAGTCCTTAAAGGATGTATGGTATGATTGAATATTGTGTACAACATCTTCTTAATGTTCATCTTTGGTGCAATGGAATTGAAATCTGATTCTTTGTCAAAGCAACTTTTTAAGTTCTCTTCAAGTTATTTTCATCTTATTGGTGACTAAATCTGCTAGCTAGTTCCAGTATAATGAACTATTAACCTAACAGACTGCTATTGGTACAAATGTGAAAACATCACTAAAGTCTAATAATCTTATTGCTTTATTGTTTATAGCTGTTATCCTAATGAACAAGGCCTAAAACAGTACAAATGTGTGTATAAGTCCTACAGGTGGTTTCACAGTGTGCTGTATGAATAGATGTTTATATTTGTTATTACAATTCTGACAATGAATGCTTCATCTTCTAGTTCCAACAGATACTACTGCATCCATTGCAGATAGAACTAAAGCTAAGCAGTAAGCTACAGGTTCCAACTAAAAGCACCTTCAACTAGTGTTACTAAGAGCAAGATGTGGTAACTTTAAAACACTTAAAGAGATTTTTCAAAAGCTGTTACAAAAGTTTTGCTTTATAATGTATGTTATCTGGTATACGTGGCAAGCTATGTAGTCTGTTTCAATTGACTGGGCAAATGTTCATAAATGAGAATTGCTAATCTGAACCTTTTATTTTGATTTAAACAAATCTGAGATTAAGAGCCACAGAGAAATCCCCCAGCTTCTTAAACTGCTTGAGGAATGACTTTAAGTATATTCCACTAGATTCTATGTAGAGAAGAATAGGTGATATAGATAACAGATTCTTAACTGCCCTGGACATTAGGATAGGACTTTAGACAAATGGGACCTGAATGTGCCCTGATATCCTCTTAAAGGGGTCACCATGGTCTTTTACCTCAGAGACCAGGAGGGGATCCCATGGCAAAGCAGGATGAGAGAGGTGTGTGCTCCTGGTTCCAGTGAGACCCCCGGAGGCCTCCCAAGTGCTCTTCATTGCAGAAGCAATGGACACTTCATCAGAAAGGCCACCCAGGGCCATGTCCCAACTGACAAGGAGGTCATTGGAGATCTGACTGTCCTTGAAGGCCAAGTACTTCAGGTCAGTCATCTCCCATTGGATCCCCTACATGGGACGGAAGCAGCCCTGGAACCTGCACAGGCTCAAGGCCATCCACGGACTTCGGTGACACCTCGGAACAGCACTCAGGAGCCCCGGGTGGATCTCACAGTGGAAAGGAAAATTTTAAGTTTCCATCTGGACACTGCCTTCTCTGTCCTAGCTAGCTTGGGCTTCTTCCCTCTCTCAGGGTGACCATCAGGGTCTCTCAGGAGCCCCAAATTAGCTTAGGTGACAGACAGATTAATCTAGAAGCTCAGAAAAGAAGTTTTTCTAGGGAAAAGTTAGTTAGCCTGTAACTGCTCAGCCTGTATCGCTGACCAGACTCCTGACAGGGCAGGTTTGCCATCTCACTCTTCAGTTCTTGCTAGACATCACTAGGTAGAACACCCTCACCATTCTGAAGCAGGGTTCATGTCTTCCTCATTGACTAAATTATTGGATCTCTCTGTTCATATATTTAAGACTCTTCTGTTCTCCAACTGTCAATGTATGGCTTGTTACAACTACAGGACTAGTCCATTGCCTTTGCCCTAATGTGTGGAGTTTTGTGAATTCTTACTAGAATGCCATAAGCTGCTGGGTTATTGTAACTCACAACTAGTTTAGTCTTTTGCCATCTATGCTGTGATCCAGATAAGTCTTGTAATGAAATGTTTTCAGTGTTGTGCTTTATGTTCTAGGCTCAATGTCTTCTGACACTCTTAGGGTTTCCAGCAACTGGTAAAGTACAATTGTTATTTTAAAAATCCACCATTTGTATACAAAGCAACTGTAGTATTTTCAAAAGTCAAGTAAGTTTAAATCTTAATTCAGAATCATCAATGCTAGACGAAATTATAACTCCATGGAAACTTAATGTTTACATGCCCTATATGGGTTCAAGTCCTAAAGCTACATGTTAACTTTCATTAGTTCTGTGCCTTCTAATGGACCTAGATAGCAATTTCATGTAGCTCAGAAAGTTTCATGTGTTCTATAATGTTCATTGAGTTTAATTGTTTCAAAACTTGAGCTTAAAAAGAATTATTTCAAACTGATAAATCTAGTTCATAGCCTTAAACACTGCTCAAGTCCAATGTTCAACAAAATGTTTCTCATATCTAAGTTCTAAAACTCAAGTATTTAAACTGATGCTTCCACCAAGCCCATTACATATTAGGTTGGGAGAGATTATAATTGTCTTTGTTTTGTCATCTAGACTTCAACAAGAAGGAACACCCAGAGTTCAAACAACCTGCCAGGCACCTCTGATGACTTCTGCCAGGCGTCTTTGATGACTTCTACGTTCCACTGGGGACCCTTAGACCGACCCCCAGAGGAATGCCCAACTGCTGCCTTTGAACTTCGTCCCATGTCAGCAGGAAGCAGTCAGAGCGGTCACCGTCCCATTTCCCCCTAACAGCAGTTAGGGTCACTTCTTCTGGGGGGCGGAATGAGAGAGGAGTTAGTGGGTAGTAGGCAGTTAGGGTATTCTGGGTCCCTGAGTAAAAGAGAATTTCCCCACCATGTCTTGGAGTCACCAGGGCACGTCTCTTCCAAGGGACAGTGGTGCTATTAGCATATCAATTCCCCACCTGAAGTATCGGCCATTACCTCGGCTATTGTGGGTGGGCCTCAGGCCAATCTCTTTATCATTGAAAGGACAGCAGGAAGAAGTAATACACATCGCTTAAGGCCTGGAATGTCCTATGTCTGGTATCTCTGTGACCTTTTGTCCCAAGGCCAGGTACCTTGGAAATCGGGAATTTTCTTTGTTCATGGAGAAACATCTTTGAGGGAAACCTTTAAAAGGGGCATTCCCCACCATTGATACGGGTTTTACTTCTTTGCCCCCTGCCACTATGGCAGAGGACTAGGGTTCTCCTTTTTCCTCCTGCCACATGGCAGAGGACTAGGGTTCTCATTTACTTTTCCTCCTGCCACTATGGCAGGAGGTAAGGGTTCTTTCTATCTCAAAGCCCCCTCCCGTCACTAGGACGGGAGTCTTCTCTTCTCAACTTTCCTAATAAATCTTGCGTTAAAACTAAACTGTGTCCGCATGAAAATTCTTCTTTCCTGCGAGACAAGAATTTGAGGTTGCTGCCATACTCGGAGTCAAAATTCCTGCAACATTATTATCAGCTCATACACCAACTGGTATCATTATTTTTGGGAGCCAACATTGCATAAGAAAGAATACTCCACTGCCCGATCCCACTTTCCTAAATGTTAACAATCCGCCCAGAGTTCTAGAGACAGCGCTGACGTGAGCTGTGACCTGTAACACTCCTATGGCACAAACTGAAAGACCTAATAGGGTATTTGACATAATCCAAGGTACAACAAACCCTGGTGGAGAGCCCAATGTTAGGAAATCATCAAGAGCAAAATGAAGGGTAAATTTCTGAAACTTGCATTTTCCTCAGTTACTATGTAGTTATTAAGCCCGTTATTACCTAAAATTAAAACCATTCACAATAATCCTCCTCAGGTCTTAGGTATTCAACTCTTAAACTGTGTCTGTTGACTAGGCATAAGAACCACTTCAGTGAATAGATTAAAAAATGCACTTACCTGTTTTCTCCCAAGCAGTGAAACGTTGTTTGCTGTAGATTTAAAAGTTATGCACAAACAATACAGTTGCAGGTGTTGGGAGGGTGTGAACACAGGAGAACACAGGAAGGTCTGACTATGAGATCAGCCAGAGGATACCTGAACTTGCCCAGATCTGCTTGGGGCAAGGGAAGTCTCTTTAGAGTACATATAACATTGGGACAACAAGAATACTGATGTCCACTAATAGGCAAATATTATCAAAACCCTGTGATTGAGAAAAGGAATATATTTCATACAACATACTTCCCTTATGCACACTACTTCCTCCTACAAGGCTTTCATGGAAAAAGTTTCTGGAAGTGGCCAAAACACAATCATCAGAAAAGTGAGAACCTCACAAACATGCTTGTGAACATTTCTAATTGACACACAGCAGTAGGCACACTTCCTGTCCATGAAGGATTCCCCAGGAGAGGTTTATCCCCTCCGAAAGAGGAATTTAGAACACTAGGCCAGATCCTACATGAAAACAATCACATGTCCTGGTAATTCTATAGTCACAAATCCACATTTTTCATCTCTTTTGACAAAACCCAAATACATCACATGCAAAGAAAACAAACCATCGTTTCCACCAACACGTTTGGCTGCACTTAACGTGGAAAAAACACATCTTTTTCCGAATGCTCCAAGAAACAGGTCTAATGGACAGCCAATGTGGATGTGTTCAGGAGCCCTTCCAGAGGATCAAAGAAAGTGAGAGGACAAAGTTCCTCATGGTTGGGCCTGTCCAGGACCCTTTCTGAGACAGAGACCCAAGGTGTCTATGTGCAAGTTTGCTTACCATGGACTTGGTGAAGGGCCGCGCCAAGGTAAACAGCAGTGTGTACACCCACCAGCTGCGATGGATGGAGGAGTACATCATGTTCCCAGGATGCACTGCATTCGACGTGACACCCCGAGGGGAAAGGCGGCGGTGCAGCTCGTTGGAGAAGAGAATGTTACAGAGTTTGGACCTGTTGTATGCCAGCATGGCCCAATAGTCGTTCTTTGACGGAGAAAGGCGGCTAAAGTCAAGTTTTCCGGAGGAATCATTGATATCTGTGAATCTAAAACAGGAAATAGGGCATCAATAATCAAGCTCTCACTTCTCGTGTGTAGTCTTTTTTTTTTTTATTAGAAGTTTGAGGAAATTAGCCACAGACAAGTAAAAACGCAATTCATGTATATCTGCTCTTCCTGAAAGAGTCAGTGGTGACTTAGCAGAACGAACTAATCGGATCCAAGCACAGGTTTAGTAAAGGTCTTCAAATCATGAAGGTCAAAGTCACAACATTGACTCCCAAATCCAGACCCCTTCCTCCCCCTATGCCCCACCCCAGACGTTCTTCAAAACCTGCAGCAGGAAGTTTGATAATTAAATGAAGTGGAGGAGCGTGTGCAATGAAGGGCTGCTGCTTTTGGAAACAGAATGGTATCACACGCCTACCCAAAGCTTTGGCGGGGCTCTCCTGGAGCCAAAGCTTGAGCCCTGTGTATTTTCATCTGAGCATCCAAGTAAATATAGATGAGCCTTGCTGCCTCCAAGACTCTTCTCCAGATTAAAAATTAATGATTATAAAGGGGTTATAACCTTGGTGAGGTGCCATCAATAGTCTTCTACGTTTAAAAGATAAATGTAAACAAAGCCAAGATGAGTTCTGGCAGAGTCTAAGGTTTTTAAGTACACCCATGGCAGGGGTGCTCGCAAATCAAAGTAACTGGTTGATGTTTTATAATTGGGTCTGAAGGAGTCGTTAAACACCAGCTGTTTGTTTCCTTTCTTTTCTTTCTGTCTCTTTTTTTTTTTAAAGAAAGAACACAGAATTGACTGTCCCTAAAAAATAATAATTGGATAAAGACAAAGAAATTTGCTAGATGGTCTCATCCCTGTTTACAGACCCCTCCTTTTTGCCTCATTAAATTAGTTCTGGGTGCTGGGTTAAATAAGAAACCATAATGAGAACATGCTAGAAAACTGCTAGAGAAAACAGAAAGCAAATGGTAAAATGGAAATTTTGGAATAATCCTGTCGTTCCTTAATTTGAGCAATTCATGTTGGGTTAAAACCAAGAAAAACATCGCAGTGGCAGAAGAAATCCATGCTATAATGGAAATTAAATATCCCCTGTACAGGACTCAGTGACATCCAATTTCTAGTGTTAAATGACATTGCTGCTTTAAAGTCATCAGCAAAGCCGATGGCCAGAAAAGTCATCAAGGATGTGGCAATGAGACCTTGAAACTAACTGTTGGCTGGCTGTTTCCAAGTCTCTAAACCACAGGAAGAGCCTGGACTTCCATGCTTAATTGTCTAAAGCAATGGAACTTGCTGGGAAATTTGAAAGTTTATGGGTAAATTTGCTAGTCAAAATAATGACTGTCAGCAGGGGCTGGGGACAGTGGAAGTCTTACAATGCAACTGGGGTCTTGTTCAATGCAGACTGCCCCACTGGACATACTTATAGATGAAGAGCCTGTGTATAGTTATCCAAGAGCAGAGAAGCTAATTGTGTTTTACATAGGCACACAGTTTTAACACTCCCTCGGACTCCAGAAGAAATTTTATTTCTCTGTGTAAACGAAGAATGAACATACTTTCAAATTGGGTGAGGTTGGTTTGGAAGATAAGGTGCGACTCGCGGCCTGTTGCACCAGAGTGTGCAGCATCACACAGCTGCTAACACCTACGTGTGTGTATCCGTCTCCAGGTGACCGAGGCATGGATATGGGCAGGTTATCATCCTTCATGCAGTACTGCCCAAGCATTTCCATGAGGAAACACCTGCTATATTCTTCCAAATTTGTTTTTTCTTTAGGTTAAAGTTAAACCATCACATTCGATTAAAAAGACATTTGTACTGGGAACTCACATCATTTTGAAACAATATTTCAAAATAGCAATGAAATGTTATGGAAGAGTTGTCACCAATGCGCGCTATTGCAATGAGAACACAGGACTTGGAAACTCCACCTACTCAGGGCAGAAGACAGCATCCATCCAAAATTTAGACAATTTTAGGAAGAATGGAGAAAAAATACAATAAACATCTTCCATGTCCAATCTCCGTTCTGTATCTGCTACTGGAAATCCACTTATGTTATACCCAGTGAGCTAACACTAGCCCAGGATCTATTCCTTCCTGGAAACTCTATTTCATTTCAAAAGTTACAGGGATTTCTTTGGTGGAGTGAGGGGATAAAATAAAAAGAATCCTTGCAATGCAAAGGGCAAGACCAGCCTCTCTACCCTCAAGGTGTCAAGCTGTGCTATTATCCTTAGTGCTCAACTGTTGCCTCTAGGACAGGTTGCAAAAACCATCTATGCCATCTTTGTGTTTTATACATGATGTCCCTGCTGCTACCACACCAAATCACAAGTCATTTCCTTGTGTGGTTCCAGCATTAGACTATGATGTTTTAGAAAGCAAATAGGGGATCTTGCATGCTGGCTTAGTGGCTAAATCCTCAGCTGGCATGCGCCAGGAACCCATATGGGTGCCGGTTCATGTCCCAGCTGCTCCACTTTCCTTCCAGCTCCCTGCATGTGGCCTGGGAAAGCAGCAGAGGATGCTTCAAGGCCCTGGGACCCTGCACCTATGTGGGAGTCTTGGAAGAGGCTCCTGGCTCCTGGCTTCAGGACAACTTAGTTCCAGCCCTTGCTGCTACTTGGGGAGTGAACCAGCCTGCAGGAGATCTTTGTCTCTGGCTCTCCTCTCTGTAAATCTGACCTTCCAACTAAAAAAAAAAAAAATCTTAAAAAAAAATGCAGTCAGCAGATGGGGAGTGTTGACCAGCACAGGAATGGGCACACGGTGGTAACTGAACGCCACAGCTGAGATCTGAACTTGGATCCTGAGTACATAACTACAGAGGCTGGACTTCTCTTATTACAACCCCCTTTTTTAAAGTTATGCGTGAAAGGCACAGGTATCACTGGATCTTCATTAATATTTGCATATAGCACTTACTAATGTCAAAATGAGTTCCCTCAAGTTTACGAATGATGTAAAATGACTTCATGCCTGAGAAGCACTGGCTAGAATTTCTAGAAAGACAACAATAATTTCTTTCTTGTTCTTAATCTCAAAACAAGATTGAAAAAAAAAAATACTGCGTGAGAGACTAGCTGGATCGAGGGTGCAGGATGTTTCTAAGGTGGAGAAGTACCAGCCGCAAACTAACGGGCCCCTCCTCTGCAAAGGGTCCTACCCATAGCCGAGGCAGAAAACCCAATTTTGAGGTCTGCTCAACTTGGGATTGGCAGTGCTTTGGAAAGCGAGGCAGGGCTTGCTTCCTGAAAAATCACCAAGCGTACCTTTAAGCTCAGGAGGCAGGGGAAAAAAACCCTCTTCAAAGGCTGCTACCTGTTTACCAGGTGAGAAACTGCCAAAGGTAAATAATAATATGGCAGTAGAATTAGGCCTGAACTAACATGCAGTCTCTAGTCACTGATATTAGGTTTGTGATAAGCCCTTATGTGTTTCCATGTATTCTGCTCTTTAATTTCTCTGGGGATTTTGTTTTTCAACTCAGCTAAAATAACTAAGCTGAATTCTATGCAGACAAAAGCAAGTATGCTCAAAAACTAAAACTAAACTTGTGTCAAAAGTTGTGTGTGATTGTTTGTGCACAGTATGTGGCTGTAGTGTGTGTGTATGACCATGTAAGTGCAACTGAAAGTTGGGTTGCAGTGTGGCACTCAACACAGCTGCAGCCACTTAGGAGTTGTTCAGCCAGCATTCTGCTGCCTTCATTCTATCTTAATTATTATCTGAACATATTTCACAGCAAGAAAGTTGGGTTTCCACTTCCAAATGATGTATTTTAGGTATGCAGGAACTCAATTCACTTGCTCAGACTCCAGATAAGTAAGTAAAACACAGTGAAGACATGGAAGCTAATAAATGTTTTGCCTTGGGGCAGTCTAGTATAATATTTTCTGCAAACATAGGACTTTATTTTTCCCCTAACAGGGGGTCTTGACTCCGACGAAGAGATTCCGCCAAGGTTTATGGAGGTAATTAGATTTCAACACTTGGATTTTACAACACAGTTTGGGCTCTGGGTCCTCGAGTAGTGAGCAAGTGCTTTCTCGTCCTGCCTGTGAACCCAGCATCCACACTTGCTCTAGGGTGCCCAGGGAGCCAGCGTAAGTACAATAAACAAGCAAGTTTGGGAGAGTTAGCATTCTGTAATAACACCCTTTAAGAGAGTAGAAGGGATAACTGGAGAGCAGAGAACCAGCATTTCCTCCCTGACCAGGAGGAGTGGGTTTGACAACACATTCCAGCAAGGGCTTGCCTACAAACTAACGGGGAGATCTGATTCTGGGCGCTGAATCCCTTCCTTCCAAATTCATCTTTTAATGAAATTCTGACTTGGATCTCCAAGGTAGGCACAAACTACACTGTCGTTAAGGGGAGAACAAAGACATCACATGAAATACCGTTTGAGATACAGCTTACAAAGAGAAGCCAGCAGCTGACAATTCGACATAATCTCCCATTAAATACCAGCTCATTTAAACATATCCCGTGGTGCCCTCCACATCTGGCAAACAGTTGGGGCTGGCAGATTTATTTCCAGAGAGCTCTCTCCTGCCTGCCCCCACAGTAGCCTCCCTCACTCCTGAACAGGGCCACTCCACTTTCTTTCTCAAACCTGGTGTGATTTGCAAAGATAAGGCTGTCCAGATTTTGTTACCACCTAATTACTAGATGTTTCATGTCTTCTAACGTGGGGGAGGATTATTACTGGCATTTTCCCTTCGTTTCAGCCGTCATAAATTTAAAATGGTAAAAGTAAATCTATCTGCAGTGTGTCACTTATACCATAAGCCCCTGTGTTTGGGAGTGATAAAGGGTTCAAGCTAACCCTTGGCTGGTCTCTCTCTTCCAAGTCCCAGGGGTTGCATTTTATGGAAGTATGATTAAAAAATAAGCTCCATTCTGGGTCACTAAAACATTTCGGGACTTAAGATGGAGAAGAAGGGGAAAAAATAGGCCCTTGCACAGTTGTGTTTTTTTTTTTTCCAGCTACTCTGCTAAGCACAAAATCTCCCCATACCACCCTCACACCAAGAAGATGGGAAAGAGAAAACTCCCTAATAGGCACTAAATATAGCATAATCCAGCAAGTCCTTTGCCTTTTCTCAGTACTTCTCTTTCATAAATTCTTGTTTACGCAACTCTGGAAACAAATATGCTGAAAATACGATGAAATTTTCAAATGTGTTCTTAGTCAATCGAATATTCTCCTAATGGCAATAGAAAACAAGTGCCATCTGATGTTTTAATTGAAATTTTAACCAAAAGAGGCATGGCCAGATTTCTAATACGTTCTAACTACAGTACTTTCCTTTCTACAATTACACAGCTAATGTCTGCATTGAATTCCCTAATTTCTCATTATAAAACAATTGGATTTCATCTCACAGTCTTTAATTGCATTGTTTCTCCTGCTAGAATAACTGCACATTCTTCTTGGTAAGATGTTGAAGTTGTTGAATTACAAATCAATAAAGGTCATGCCATTCAGATTTAATCAATTATTATTCCATCTCTATGCAAAATCAATGAGAAGCTTGAAGCACAGTTGTAAAAACAATCTACATTGCTGGAGACAGTCCCCTCAAACAATTCCCCACAATCACACACACACTCACATTCAATGTAGAAAAATTAAGTAAACAGGGTTGTTGACACACAATCAGAATTATTTTCAGAAAAAATGGTCTTGGGGGAATATTGGCTCTTGCAAGAACAGGGGACGAGTGGAAAGAAAAAAAAAAACACCATCAAATTCAAACTCACCGATGGGACTCAGAGGAGACCACAACCACACGGGCGGGGGCAGAATGGCACAAAACATCTTGGAGGAGCTGGACAAGGTAGAAGTGTCCCAGGTGATTGACCTGGAAGGTGGTCTCCAGGCCATCCTTTGTGAGGCCCCAGGGTAGAGCGAAAGCTGCTGCATTGCACACAAGCACATGCAGAGGCCTGAAAAATGAAACAGTTAATAATATGTGGACACCAACACTCCTGAGACAAAGATGATCCCATGCTTCTGCAGGAATATTTGTGCCTTCAACATTCCAATCAGCTGGAAACGGGATATCTACAATGTCACAAGGCATCCAGTGAGCAGATGTCTGGATGTGCGAGGGCTATAGGTCTTCCAGAACTTGGGACTTTCAGCACCAACTCAACATAGCACTGGCAAATGTGAATAATTTTGGCACCCTGGCTAGAAGCCAGGTTCCACCACCTAATTTATTATGCTTCCTATTTATCCAATTGTCAAGTTTTTTTTTTTTTTTTGAACATACAAATCAAAATAGCCCTTAAAGAAGATGTGAGGAACAAGGCTTAAACTTCGCTGTAACAATGTCAACAAAGAACCCAGTACATAGTAGGCACTTGGTAAATACATTAAAGCCCAGATGGTTTATTTTCTTTTTTAAAAGATTCATTTTGAGTGAGAAACATGGCTAGGTCAAAGTCAGGTCTCCTGAATGACTGGGACCCCCAAACACTTGGCCCATCTACTACTGCCTTTCCTAAACATTAGCAGGCATCTGGATCAGAATTAGAGCAACCGGGACACAAACTTGTGCCCATGAGGTAAGCCAGTACCTGGCATGATAGTTATACCCATCATGCCACAATGTCAGGCCAGAAACATGGGTTTTCTAAAGAGACAAACATTTATTATTTGAAAATATTCCTTTTAGAGATCAGATTAAATCTTCAGTTTAGAAATGAGCCTAGGAATAAGTGAGTGGAGGTATGTTATAGTATTCAGGCCTCTTCTATAGAAACTCATTTTCAAAACAGAGTAAGCCTTTCATGTGGATCGAAATCCTAAATCCTCATAAAGAAATTGTAGCTGTGGGAATTCATAATACTAACATACATTAATAAGAACTATACAATGAGATAAATTCAAGGCTATTCACATTGTTTGCAATTGCAACATAAAAACACTACATTAGAAATGAACTAAATATACCAAATGGAAATCATTAAGTGAGTACAACATATTCATGTGGCAGAAAATCAGGTTGTGGTTAAAATGACAACACACACACACAAATCCACTGACCCTGCGAAATGCATCACAGAACAGAATACACAACACGATGTGATCACACAGAGAGAGAATAGCAACAAAGGGCACACAATAGATGAAGAGTAGTTATCCCCAGGGACAAGCAGGATGCAAACACAACTGAGCCATGTTCTGTCTGAGCAGATATGCATTCTCTTCATTCTTCTCCATAACTAACATGTATGTTTATATAATCAGGAAAACTGCAACGCAATAAATAAAAAAAAAATAAAAGCATTACAAGAATTTAGGCAATGCTTCAGCTACCTCTCACCCACTTCACAGGCAACTGCCTTTTGTGGCAAGATGAATGGTAGACTCCCAAAGATACATCCAAACTAGACCCAGGAAGTGACCTTACTCAGGAAAACGCTCTTCACAATTACAATTAAGCTCACAATTTCTACACAAGATTCTCCTGCACTAAGACAGACCCTAAATCCTTCAAATATTATTCAGAAGAAAAAAAATTTAAAAAAAGAAGAAGAAGATACTCAAGAGCAGAGGATTTAAGTGGGTGCAGAGATTAGTACATGCGTGCTGTATTCTGGGTTCATATATGGATGCTGGGCCCTGTGTAGCAGTAAAAGAAATGGTGGAATCTTTATAAATTCATGCTTAGTGTTGGGTAATTAACTCAATGTGGATGCTGCCCTCAGAGAGGATTAAGGCTGGTCTCCCAGAATGAATTCATTCCCAAGAGAGCAGCTTGTTATTAAACAGCAAATGTGATTTCTGAACTGCTCTCTGGAAGCCTGTCTGGCCATGCAGTTGTACCTGTTCCCACTGTCGGATGTAACACACCATGTCTCAGGAGACCCTCACTAGAGCACAGCAGAAGCTAGCGCATGCCTGTGAACCTCTTTTCATTATGAAACACACAGCCCGGGCTATTTCACCAGAGTAACAGAAAACAGACTAAAACAAAATGCACGGCACACAGACAGCAGAGGCTGGGAGGAAGGTGTGGAATGGGAGAATTCTCTGGCACAGCCTTTGGAAGAACCCACCCCATAGAAATTAGGATTTCAGAATCTTCACTTCAGGAAACTCAATGTTTTGAGCCACTCGATTTGTGGTCATTTATTATGGCAGCCTTAGAAAACTAAGTTTAGAAACTCATTACCTAAGAAAGATATTCGAAATGCTTATCAAAATTTATGCAGTAAAATGAATAATTACACATAAATGAAGATTATTAAATTACATATGAACTAGGAGTAACCTAAGGCTCAACAACAGAAGAATGGACAAACAAACAATGTTTAAGTCAGAAGTTACCAAAGTATTTCAATTGCATTGAAATGGCAAGAATTATATTTTGTATTATTCATACCCTTGGCTCTCAGAAAAATTTATATATGTATGTATGTGTGTGTGTATTTAATAAGGAAAAAACAAAAAAATTTAGACAAGGGTATATGAGACAACTGGATTTATTTATTTTTCATTTTAACTTCACTTAAGGTATAACTAGAGACAGAGGAGGGAAGCAAGGACAAAGAGATGGATATTCCATCTGCTGATTCATTTCCCAAATGCCTGGAACAGTCAGGGATCGACCAGGTCAAAACTGGAAGCCATTCTAGGTCTCTCACAGTGTGACGGTGTCCCAAGGACTTGAGCCACCATCAGCTGCCTTTCAGAGGGAGCATCAGCAGAAAATGGGATTGGACTAGATGGGAAGTGGAGCTGAGACTTGAACCTGAACATTGAGACATGGATGCAGGCATTCCAAGATGGGTCCTACTGCTGTGGCTTGTGTTTGTCATTGGTGCAGCTGTGACCCTGTTGCCTGAGGGGCATGCCAGAATTCCACCATCCTTCCAGGTCCCAGCATGAGCTTAGAGGGACACACCAGGCTCGAAGCAGGCTCCGCTCTCCTCCAGTCATCATGGCAACCATCAATATCCAGGAATGGAACTACTGGATCACAGGGTAGCTCTGAGAAGCCACCAGACTTCTTTCCTATGTGGTGCACCATGTTACAGTCCCATCACTTGTGTAGGAGGACTTTGCTTTCTCGTTTTTTGTTGTTAAATTTTTATTTTGAATGTTTCAATTTTATGATATAATTTCATTGAGACTGGGATTACCTCCCAAACTCCCACCCCGGACAGATTTTCCCCATATTGCTACAATAGTATAGTCCTTCCTAAGGAGTCATGATTCCATCAGTCTGTTATTTAAGTGTGCCCCGACATTGCTGGTACAGACAGAAATGGCATCTTAGTGTGGTTTTTATAATTTCCTCAAGTCGTGGATGCTGAACATCTCTTTAAGTATGTGCTTGTTGGCAATTCCAACATCTTCTTTAAAGAAATGTGTTTTTAGGTCCTGTACCCTTTATTTTAACTAAGCTGTTTCTTCATTGTTGAACTGTAACTGTTCTTCATATATTCTAGGTATAAATTATTTACTTAATATGCAATTTTCAAATATTATTCCCCTTCAACAGCTTGCTTTTTCACTTTCTTATCAGTATCATTTATGTCATAAAGCCTTTCATTTTAATGAACTCTAATTTCTTTTTTTCCGTTACTTATTCACTGGGCCTTTTTTTTGAGAAATCATTTAATAATTCAACATCGCAATATCCTGGTCTTGTGTTTATCTTAAAACTTCAGCATTTGCTTCTTCGGTCTAAAAACCACAATCAACTAATTTTATGTATAGTACAGGCAATACATGTTATTCATTGTTTTGCCTGTGGATATTCATTTGTTCTAGAATTATCCATTGAAAATCATTCTTTCCTACTCACCACAAACGAAGGGGATAATCCTGAAATCTCAATTCTACTCTCTTATCTTTTTCTCCAGACTTGTGCCAGCAGTACATGCTTTCTATTTCTGTAGCTCTTTAGTACATTTTGAAAATGAGAAATGAGGGTCTTCCAACTTTGTTCTTTTTCAAGTTTGTTACTGCTTTCTCCATTTCTTTCCATTTACAAAGTTCAAAATCAATTTTCCAACTCTTGCCAAAACATCCAACAGGAAATTTTAAAGCAAATACCTTAAATTTGTTCAAGAATACTGACATTTTATTCACTGATCCATGAACATGGGATGTCTTTAATATCATGTAGATCTTCATTTTTTTGATAACATTTTAATGTTCTCAAGTATAAGTTTTTTTATAACTATCGTGACATTAACGCATGAGTATTTTATTTTTACTTATGATACTTCAAACAGAATTGAGTTCTTTGTTTCAAATTTGGCTTATCTTTCACCAACACAAAGAAACTTACTGTATTTGCTCTTTGCTTTTTTTGATGCTGCAACCCAACTGAAATCATTTGTTAGTTTTTACCCTGTAGCCTAGCTGAACTCACTAAAAGGGGTAAAAACTGTAGATACAGTGAAGAAGACTGAAGAGCAAAGCACAGAGCCCTGAAATTAATAATCATAGAAAAATACTATGCTTGTATGATCATCTATTTGCCATGGATGGTGTCCTGCACAGTTGTCAATAATAGCTTCCCAGTGGCCCAGTTACTTTCTAAAAAGGTTAGCACACATGCTGTGAGGTAACTAGTCTACCATTAACAGTAACCATATCCTCCTTAAAATCAGAGCAGACTCTATTAATTTGTAACTGAATGAATCCAATGTTTATATTAAGAGAGGACCACTTGGGGGGAGCGGGAAGAGACAGATGATAAAAGAGCAAGATTATGTTTGATTTCCTTTTAGATGGCTTCTCAGATATTTGTTTCATTGTCTTTTTTTCTCCTTTTTTCATGTCTTAACTATGGTTTAATCACTTGTTAATATGTTTGTGTCTATCTCATTTAATCTCCTTAAGAACCTTAATTTATTTGTCATTTTATTTTTTTAATTTTTAATTATTATTATCATTTTATGATACAGTTCCATACAGTTTC